AGTAAAATATGACAAAGTGAAAATGAAACTCTCCAAACTTGTGACATTAATCTAAGAGCATGAATTTGTGCTTTGTCATTCCAATGCCAAATATTTGCTTTATCTTTTTCAATTATAAACTCCAAAATATGTCACATTTGCTACAATTTTTTGATACATTATTGCATCTGTTACCATAAGACGAGTGTGCAACACGCATTGTGTCTCGTGACCCCGTTTCACGAGGATGTTGTGTCTGTCACCATTCCATCCCGAAGGATTCGTCGAATAAGTTGTTCCGATATATCACAAATTCGTTTGGTAGTTTGAATGGCATTGGGAACCAATTCAACTCGAACATGTCTTCGGGCTAGGGACAGATACCAAGTTTTCTGCCATGGAGGAAACTCGTTAACTTAGGTTAAGTTTTATCTTAAAAATAGTTTCCACACAAAAATCATGGGCAAACGTGTGAGCTTGTTCTCTTCATTTGATCTGATTAGAATAAGATTTGATCTCGTCTAAATATAGTTATATTTAAAGTTGATTCTATTCTGATCTCATATTAACTGATTCTAATAAGAATAAGTTGAAGGGAACAAGCTCTAACTAACAAAAGAACTAACAAAAGAAACCGAATTTATGACAATTACTCACCGGATTCGCTGGGCTGGCGTTGATCATCATGAACTATCCCCACCTCTTATTCCACTCGAAGAAGCCTAAAAAAACACTCCCTCTATTCAGTACATTCAACCATTTCAGGCTCACCAAACAGAACCCAATAGTCCATGCAAAAGCTCAAAATGGGAGCTTTACAGAAACGCTGCGAGCTTCCCTCGAAGTTCTTGGGAAAGAACCTTAAAAAATCCTACAACAAGCGCAATAAAATCCCACGAAAGTAAGGTCTAGGGAGGGTATGTGTACGTAGGACCTTACCCCTACAGCCCTACGTGAGAGTAGAGAAGAACCTTCAAGAACCCAATCACCAATAATCCATACAAGAACACGCGCCATCCTTAAAGTGATGGAAACGGTTCGTGTCCCTAACGAAAATCTCTCTCCCTTCAAACCTTGATGCAAACTTCATGAAGGAATGGCAGTCGCCGCAAATCCGGAGGTTCTTTATAACTCTTAGAGGGTACCCTTTGCCTGTGTTCAGTATTCCAAGAACCACTGCCAGCTTCTCACTGTGCCCACAAAGAATCTGCTCCTTCTCTTGCTCTTCCACATCCTGCAGCACGAAATCGGTGTCTGGTAAAAACCCAGATTTCTTCATTTCGAAGCCCAACTCGGCTAACTTCTCCATTATCTGTGTCATCTGTGGATGTGACTTGTCTCCAGCTAAAAGCATGTGTACTTTGTTCTTCACTTCAATCCAACTGCAACCCGGATTCTTCCTTAACCCCAAATCTTCCATCTTTTTCCTGATTCTGTCCGCTTCGTTCCATTTTTTGTTAGACGCGTAGATATTGGATAAGAGAATGTAGTTTCCGGGATTTGTTGGTTCAAGTTTGAACAGTTCGTTCGCAGCCACCTCGCCCAAATGCATATTACGATGAGTTTTGCAAGAACTCAATAACGAGCCCCAAACACACGCGTCGGGTTCGAAGGGCATTTTGGTAATAAGAGAGTGGGCCTCTTTGAGCCTTCCCGCCCGACCGAGGAGGCTCACCATACAAGCATAGTGCTCTAGTCTGGGTTTGATCCCGTGATCCTTAGCCATGATTTCAAAGTAATGTTCCCCTTCTTTGCTAAGCCCCGTTTGGCTACACGCGGATAAAACACTGGTGAAACTGATCGCGTCGGGTTTCTCTCCCCCACTCTGCATCATCAAATGAAGAGTGTTGATGGCTTCTGCGGCCTTCCCATGCATCGCGTACCCACCAATCAAAGCATTCCAAGAAACCAGATTCTTTGTAGCCATCTTGTCAAAAGTGAGCTTGGACAAATCTACCCTCCCACAATTAGCGTACATATCGACTAACGCGCTAGCAACAAAGACATTATCAAGAAAACCCCTTCTAATGGAGAAGCAATGTGCTGCTTTCCCGTGCATCAACGCTGCTATATTGCCAAAAGCAGGAAGCACACAAGGGATTGTGACGCAGTTTGGTTCGACCCCAACTGTCTGCATCTCCCTGAAGAGTTCCAGTGCTTCCATGTCTCTCCCATGTTGTGAGCAAGAAGCAATCATGGAAGTCCAGGTAACCACGTTCGCATCCATCCCTTCATCCCTGCACTGTTTAAAAACCTTAACGGCTTCATCAACAAGACCGTTCCTAGAAAGCCCAGAAATCATAGCATTGCAAGCACCCAAATCCTTTTGAGCCATGTCTTCAAACACCAAAGACATCTCTGTTGTACAGCCACACTTCCCATACATGTCTATGAGAGAACTCACTATACATATATCAAGCTTACATCCCAGCTTGATCACAAAACCATGAACTTGAATGCCGACATTTAAATTACCCAAATCTCCTATAGCTGGAAGAACACTAGAAATGCTTGTTCCATCAGGGGTGCAACCTCTCAGATGCATCTCCCGGAACAGTGAAACTGCTTCCAAGAAACACCCGCTCTGGTTAAAACCACCAATCATACCGTTCCACGAGACCAAATTAGGCTGAATCCCCAAGCTTTCTGCCTTGCGGAACAATCCAATAGCATTGGCGGTGTCCCCTTCTTTTGCATAACCAGCTGCCAAGGCACTCCAGCTGACAACATCTGGTTCATGCATTTCATCAAACACCTTGTGTGCGTCTTCCAAGTTACTGCACTTCACATACATGTGAACTAGGGACGACTGGACAAAACAATCCAAAGCAAACCCGGCCTTCAAAACATAGCCGTGGAGCTGCCGGCCGATGACGAGGGCGGATAATCCGGCGCACGCCCTAATCGCGCTGGGGAGAACATAAACGTCGGGAAGCAGACCCCGAGCTAACAATCCCGAAAAAAATCTGAGGGTCTGATCGAAAAGAGAAACCTTAGAGGAAGCGTAGATGAGGGGAGCGAAAGAGAAGACGTCGGGCTGAGGGAGAGAGCGGAGGAGGCGATCGGCGTCGGCGAAGCGGTGGTGGTGGGCGTAGAGGGAGAGCAACTTGTTGGCGAGATGGGTGTCGCCGGAAAACCCGGTCTTGACGATGTAGGCATGGGATTGCTGAGCTTGGGCGAGCGTGGCGGCTCTGGTAGAAACCAGTCTCAGAATGTGGTTCAACTGAGAAGTCTCGAAGAAATGAGAGTGGTGAATTGCTTTCATTGTGTTTCATTCTCTCTGGGTTGCTCCCCGCAGATTCTTGGGACCTCCATTGATGTATGTGAATTGATCTTCTTGTGTTTTGCAGAAATAGCAGAGAGTTCTTGAATTTGCAAAAAAAAAAAAAACGAAATGTCAGAAGTGGGATTTGAACCCACGCTCTCTCACGAGAACCAGAACTTGAGTCTGGCGCCTTAGACCACTCGGCCATCCTGACTTGTGTTGTTATGTTCGTGTAAATGTTTTATATAACCTTTCGCATAAATATTCGGAGTATGAAAGTAAGTAACCGGGATGAATAATATTTCAAGAACCAAGACCATTCTTCATTTCCTCAAGGCCTCAAATCTTCCATTCCAAAATTGATTTTTCAAATAAGTGCATCATGGAAGATTTGTCAAATCAAAATAGTAAGAGCTTATGTGGATAATGAAAAGATAGAAAATTGAAAGAAACAAGAAAAAAAGAGAGAGATTTAAAAAAAATATTATTGTTTTTTTTGATAAGTAAAATATGAAAAGAAAATTCATTAAAGTAAAAAATATATATTTTTACCCTTGTGTATTAGACTAGGAAAAAAGTAGATGATAAAGTTGTAATTTCATATATGTTCTCTTCACATTGTCATTTTCTCAACTAGAGAGAAGAGAGTATTTTTTACTTTTCTCCCCTTCTCTTTTTTATAGCAATCAAACGATAGAATTTGTATAGGAAGTTGTATATATCACTTATTCTTAATTTTTTTAAGTGCATACTTAGTTTTGAAAGGAATATCTCATTGTAAATATGATATACATGATAAAAGTCGTGTTCTCGCCTAGAAAGGAGATAAACTTTTCCACTTCTCTCCCTCCATCCTTTTCTCTGCCCTCCCTCATTTTATTGCAACCAAATGGTAAAGTTTGTATTTGGAGTAGTAATTCATAATCTTATTGGTCTTTCTTTTCAAAATTTATCCATTCAAACACACCTTTAATTTTGAAATGAAACTTAAAAATTGACGATTTTATATTAATACTTTCAAAATCAAGAATTGACTCAATTGCTTCTAGGAATGACCCATTTACATACCATTGCATACTGCCAACTAAGCTATATACTTAGTTCGTAGTTTAGAATAAAGATATGAAAATAATAATTTTTGAGAGCAATGATGTCAATAATTGAATTTTATGGTATTAACGTAAATCACATGTTTTTCTATTTTTGAAAAACAAGATAATATGCTTTATTTGACTCAAGATATACGGATCTAGGGAGTTCTTTTGAAAACTGTATAAGAATCTAATAGATGAATAAAAAGAGATAAAAAAAATTTAAAATAAAATATATGGTATGCGGGAGTTTGATCGGATATGTTATCGGAGGGACTATCTGTCCACCATTTAGAATGTATAGAAATATGAAAAGCATTAAAAATAATTTAGGAACCTAAATAATAATTTTAAAAAATATAAGGATCTAGTAAGATTGTTTCCCATAAATATTAAAATTGATATAAATAAATTTTATCAATTTAGAAAGGATACGGAAATAAAATTTGTTTCTTCAATTTAGTTAAAGATTTAAAAAAAGGAAAAAATGATAGAATTTATCAGTTTAGAGACAATACAAAAATAAAATTTGTTTCTTCAATTTAAAATTGCAGCTAAAGATTAAAAAAGAAGTAAAAATGTCAGAAGTGGGATTTGAACCCACGCTCTCTCACGAGAACCAGAACTTGAGTCTGGCGCCTTAGACCACTCGGCCATCCTGACCTGTGCTTTTATATTTTGAATTGATTTTATATGTAAAAATCATTTGTTTTATTTTCTATGACGTCGACCCGAACCCGACCATTGAAATCCATTTTTAGAACCCGAGTTCATAAGTAGCCCATATTTAAAAAACCCTTTCATCCCCTCCGCAAACACTGCACAACGACAGTGCAATGTTGATCCAACGTTCCCTTCCGCTCCGAGCTCTACGCCACCGTCTCCGTCACTTCTCACAGTCCGCCGCCGCCGCTGTCTCCGTCCCTACAGAGCCGCCGGTCCCGGAACCCGTAAATCTCACAAACACAGACGGGTTGCCTAAACCCGACCCGAAGTTCGCGGAGACCATTCATGCAATCCCGCGAGCTATCTCCGGCAAGAACATATCCGCCAAGGAGAGGAAAGCGGGGCGAGTTCCGAGCATTCTATTCGAGCAAGAGGATGGACAGAACGGAGGGAACAAGCGGCTCATTTCCGTGCAGACGAATCAGATCAGGAAGCTCGTTACCAATATGGGCCGGGTTAATTTTCTGTCCAGATTGTTTGATCTTGAGCTCCGACCCGAATTCGAGTCCGGGGAAATCATTGAGAAAGTTCGAGTCTTGCCTAGGCAGGTATTACTCTCTAAGGGCTATTTCTCTTTTGATAATCTTGGATTTCAGGTGCCTTTAACATGTTCGATCAATTGCCTGTTTGGTTTTACTGTATAATGAGTTGCAATGTTACTATGTAAGTGAAGAGTGTTAGTTGCCTATTGTCTTGAACCAGTTTAGGCCAAGTCATTAACACTATGTCTTGGTTCAAGGAATTTAAAAGAAACAAAGGAAATGGAAAACAATTCTTCTTGTTCGGTTAGATACGAAATGAAAAGAAAGCAGAAGGAAAAAAACGAGAAGGCAAAATGATTTAAGAAGAGGGAAAACAAGTTTCCTCCCATTTTTGTGAGAAAAACGAGAGAATAATTTTCTTCATTTCCTTCCTAATACTTTGAACCAAATATAGTGTAATGGTCTGCTACTGAACCTAAGAAGTCTGGAACCTGAAGATGTAGCAATTAGTTTATGAAGCTCAATGCAAACGAGCAAAAGACTCTAGGGTTAGACACAATGCACACAACTTTATAGAACGTGAATTTGTGTGTTGATGCTGATGTTAAAAAGTATCGTTATGGCGATGCACAAATAAGTTTTGTGTGCGAAATGGGCCTTTGGTGTACACTTTGGTTTACTAAAGAAATTTTCCTAAAACTAAGAAAATTAAGAATGAATATATCCACACAAACATTACTAATTATGGTATGGGACAAAATAGTGAAACTTGCAAAAAAGTTTGAAAGGGACCAAAATATTGGGATGGAGTATATTTTTAAAAAAAATTCTTGAAAAAAATTTAATGTTTTTCAATGATAGTGGAGATGCAAAAAATATCTTTTCCACTATTGAGGCATAAAGAGTGCCCCATTTCGAACTGTTTCTGTTTGGTTTGTTGTTGTTGTTGTTGTATGAGATCTCAATGGTTTTATTCCGTAATCCGTATGTGGTTTCTATGCATCTGCTTCTCTTCTTTGTTAAAAAAAAGTACAGTTGGGATGGAAGATCTTTATATGCATCAGGGTAGCTGAGATATATTTGAATTTTGAAGGGCCGATTGAATCCCAGTTAAACAGTCTTGTAGATGGAATGAATTTTGCTTAGGGATAAGTCAAATAACTCCATATGTATATCTACACAAGTCTTGAAGATGATTTTTTTTTAAAGCTGAACTGATATTATTTTTTTGTTTTCTTTTTTTAATTTGATGTGTCAGATTCATCTACATGCAGGCACTGATGCTCCTCTCAATGTCACCTTCCTAAGAGCTCCATCAGGTGCTCTACTTAAGGTTGACATTCCCATTGTCTTTCGTGGTGACGATGCCTCCCCTGGGTTGAAAAAAGGTACGTGCCAATTTCATTGTTTTAGATATCGCTAGACTTGCGTTAAGTTCGGGCCCCACAAGCTTGTCAACTTTTTTTGCCCAACGAGCTACGTACTAATTCGGATTGACAAAAAGACCTGTTTTTTATCGCGACCCAAACTGAAAATATTGGATTTTGAATAACGATTTTGTTAATCGAACCCAAAATAACATGCTAAAAATGGAACAAACCCCGCCAAGCACGACATGACCAACCCAAACCCGTATTTTTTTTATGCAAAATACAATTGGTAGCATAAATTTTTGTATTTTAAAAATTATCGCTCATAACCTGTTACTAGGTCAGCATTTCCCACCTCGAATCAGAACTTATCCAAACGTGAAGTAACCAACCTGACCGGCCTATTTGTCAGCTCTAGAATTGATGTCTGTTTGATAAAAATGGCAGGTTCTTACCTGAACATCATCAAGAGAACAGTGAAGTTCATCTGCCCGGCAGATGTAATTCCTCCCTACATAGACGTCGATCTGAGTGAGCTGGACGTCGGGCAGAAGATAGTAATGGGGGATCTCAAGGTTCATCCTGCTCTGCAACTTGTTCAACCTAAGGATCACCCTGTCTGCAAGATCATGGGTGGAAGGGTTTCTGACCAAAAGAAAACCAAATAAGTTCTGATTTTTTTGTTCAACTCTTTTTCCTCCCTTCTTTTTGGCTTCTGAAAATTTTGGATGATGTAATTTTCTACCGTCTTAAGCCTCCATTTGTTGTTTGCTTTGAGGAAAAGGGTTCTCCCATAAAATGGAGAGACTGATGGATATACTTTATCAAGAAATGTTCATTTGTTAATGAAGTCTCAATTAACTGCTGTGAAATAGTGCTATTATACTCTTGTTTTGTCCCAAAATAAGGTCTCACATTACTATTTAAAAGATCAAACCATATATTTTCTTTTCTTATGAAGACTGTTTCATAAGAATGATCAAATCATATGGTTTCACGGAGTATACTCTAATAAGATCCCGTAAAAATGATCCCATTTTATGCAACATACACGTTGCATATGTTATTCGTTTCTTTGATAGTGTACTCATCTTAATTTTTATACCCTATATCAAACATTTAATATATTAAGACATTATTTTATTCTAAATTTTTTTAATTGTTTAACTTATTAAAAATATGTGTTAGACCGGCCCGAAGCCCGTGAGTACTGGGCAGGGCAGGTTCGGGTTTCAATTGTTAGGCTCGTTATGCTGGCTGGACCAGACCTTAGACAATTTTCAACATCTCTACCGGCACTTCATCGGGTCTGCCTATATGTGGATCTCAGTGCATCAAGCACTTGTACCTTCCGAGGTCACGCTTGAGATCAAAGGGTACAACCTTTAAGCCGCAAACTTCTTAATCTTCATCTTCTCCTCTCTCTGGGCCGCTGTTCTGGAAATCAATCGGAAAATGGGCAGAGGAAATAAGAGGCAAGGAAGCAGCAGATCCAAAAGCAGAAGGACCCAAAACGCGTTTCCGGGTCGGGCCCTTTTCGTCGTCGGTGGAGCCTTATCTGAATGGCAGGCCACGGATTCTACGCCTAGAGGTTCTTCGAATCCCCAAATTTTGAATTTTTATTTTCATTCTCCAGCTTGATTTCCGATTACTTGCTCGCAATTGCTCGAGCGCCATAGAATTTGGTTATATTTGTATTTGATTGGGATTATTAGGGAAGAATTTGCGTGGTGGGCATGGAAGGGGAGGCAGCAATATCAGAAGTGGGGACAGAAGCGTAATAAAACTGAAGAATAATTCCGGTTCGGATTCAAAATCCAGAAATGAATCTATGAAGAGTAGGGGAAGTGCGATTGCTTATGCTTATCCATCTGATGATGGTCAGGTAAATGTTCTTTTTGCACGATTCTTGTAAAAAAGTTGAGTCTTGAGGTTAAATGAGTGCTTTTACAGTTAATATCCTCAACATTTTCTTAATGTGTTTGGATATGTTTTTGGAATGTGATTCTTTTTTTTTAATGTTTGTTCTTTGGTAAAAATCTAAAGGATCAATTCATTAATGAATAGATTTGGATGTGTAATAGGAAGGTTTGGCTGGTGAGAGCAGTGGAGAAGTTAAGGGTACAAAGCTGGAGAAGATGCATCCTTTGGTTTTGGTTGATTCCCAGGAATCAAAAATTGTTGCATTTGTAGATGAAGGACAAAGCAAGGAACCTCAAAATACAAAGCTGCTTTATGAGTATGGAACAAGTTTTACACTAGGTGATGGATCAGACGATGAACAGCAAGAAATGGAATGTGTGTATGAGTGCAGTACAAGTTTCTCAGTGGATGAAAGCATGCACAGAGGATTAGGGTTCTTTAATAAAGCAGAAGCAACAAGCGGTGTTGGATCATCTTCCAAACCTGACGAGAAGGACGATTTTGGTTATGGATCATCTTGCTCTGAGGAGGATATGGATGCTGAGTTCAGCTTTCTTGGTGATGATGGTGAGAACAGTGATGGATTGCCTGCTAAAAAATCATCACGTAAGAAAAATGAAGGGTTTTTGACCTTTGGGGGCTTGAGATTATATACACAAGATATATCAGAAGAAGAGGAAGATGATGACAACGACGATGATGAAGAAGATGAAGAAAGTTCAGATTCTTCTGAAAATTCATCTGACAGCAATGATTCATTGGATAGCGATTCAGAAATTGATGATGATGTTGCAGCAGATTATCTGGAAAGCACAGGTGGGATTGCCCATAGTGTGAATGTCGATCAACTTGTTGGGCTAATTCAGGAGGAGGATGATAAGCTTGATGAAGCATTAGAGAAGCTTGGTGGGATTGCTCTCCAAGAGACATCAATGAAGTATGGCATGAAGAAGCAACAGCCTAGGAGAAAAAGTCTGGGAAAACTGCAATTTACCCCTTCCAGGCATGCCTTGCCATCTGCTTTCGATGACCTTATGCTGGTAAAAGATCCAAGGACTGCATCAGGTAGAAAGAAGCATGCTGCTAAATTTCCTCAGTCATGGCCTTTTGAGTCTCAGAAAAGCAAACATTCCAGGAGATTTCCAGGTTGTGGTTTCTATATAGATGCATCAACATGATTTATGAATTGTCAAATTTGGGATTTGGGAGTAGTATGAAAATATGAAATACCTTCTCATATCCTAATTCTTGAGAACACATTGAATTTTCCCTCACATTTTCCAAGTTGAAAAAAGCATAGATAACCTATTATCATTAGCATTTCCCTTTTCCCTCTCATTTTTTCTTGTTAAAAACATATCCTATATGTTTTGTGATTTGTGTTTTCCATTTTAATGAGTTCTATATGATGCATATTGCCACCATGAATGTCATTAGATATATTAACCATATGCTTTCAACTCCACTGTATTAGTATATATGTACTCCTAGCTTATGATCTCAGGTGAGAAGAAGAAACACCGAAAGGAAATGATAGCCATGAAGCGCCGAGAAAGAATGATTCGTCGCGGTGTTGACCTCCAGAAAATTAATGCGGTAATTAGTTAATGGATTTTTTCTTTGAGGGTGCGTTTGGGAGTTTGGAGAGAAATGGAGGGGATGGGATATTTTTTTTTGTAAAGTATTATGTTTCGAAAAAAAAAGATTCACAAGAATTTTAACTGACATGCTTTCTTGGTGTACTAACATTCTTCTTATTCTCTATTGTAGAGATTGCAACAGATGGTTCTGGATGAGGCTGATATTATGTCGTTTGAACCCATGCACACAAAAGATTGTTCTCAGGTATGATGCCTTTTACATCATTTTCGGGGCAAGTAATAATATTTAAAACAACAACAACTACTACTATTAATAATAATCACAATAATAATAAAATACTTGTATTAAGTAGTATACCTTTTAGATACAGCTATAGTTAAGCAAACAGTTCTGTAATAGGTCTAGGTTAGACTTTCAACCTAAACTAGTTTAATACTCTATCTATTCTGCTAAAATCTTTCTCTTTCTTTTTTTGTCCGTCCCAAAAGAGCTTCATTTCCCTTTTTAGGAAAAGAATATGTGGCTAAGATAATTTCTCTTAACAAATTCTAGCACACTTTTTTGACTTTTCACATACTTTTTTGAACCAGTGTACGTCAAAGACATACGATTTTCGTGGGAGAGTAGTAGTAAATTAAATTACTGTATGGTAATAAATCTTGAATCTTATACAGGTATGTAGAGTTGCATCGGTCTACCACTTATGGAGTAGTTCCCAAGGGTCTGGCAAGAAGAGGTACCAAGTTTAGTTAATATTCTAAATTACAGCGTTTGTACTCCAATTTTTGTCATTGGGACATGATATAATATTCAAGGTTTTATATTTCAGTATTTATGTAACTATTTATGGTACTTCAAATTTATGGAAAAATTGGTGGTTGTGAATATCAGATTTTTTACAAGAAAAAATTACACTCTTTGTCCCACAATTTGTTTCTTTTTTTCCATTTTAGTCTTCCCAGAGTTTTGCTCCGTACCATATTTGGCATGATTTATGTGGCTCAATCAATTCCTGCTACCAATTCATTATCAACCACAGTATCAGACGATTATACTCTTCTTAAATTGGCATGGCACTGCCCATGTCCCAAAACTAGTGGAATGGATATAGTGCATTTTGTGTATATTTCATCAATTTTTTATATTCCACGATATTTCTTGTTTTTATTTCATTTTTTAACATTTCTCTACAACGTTCCAATTTTTCTCCAAGATTTTGTTGCCTCCATAGCGATATCGTAGCCATCTAAATATGGAAATTTATAAATATCAGGATTTTCAATTTTTTTTAATAGTATCTACACTTCAATTCTTTGTCTTTCACTTGTAGATTTGTTACGGTAGCAAGAACACCTCATACATGTATGCCATCTCCGCATGGTAGAGCTCGCTTAGAACAGGTATTTTAGATCTATTGTTACTATTATTATTGTTGTTGTTGTTGTTGTTGTTGTTATTATTATTATTATTATTAATATTATTATTATTATTATTATTATTATTATTATTATTATTATTATTATTATTATTATTACTACTACTATTTATTCGGGTAGATTCCATTGATACTTATCCCGGTTGACACTATGGTGCCACTGGGTTTCAGGCACCTATGGTGCTCCGTTTGTAAAATTGATGATTTCTATCATTCCTCCCACGATAAACTCCTTACCCCGACCCACCCCCACCCCCTAACATTTTCAATTTCATCCTTAGATTTTTGTTGACTTTGGGGTAAAAAAAATTGACTCCAAAGTCATCAAAATTTTGGAGATGAAATTAAAGGGGTTAGGGGGTGGGTCCGGGCGGGTCGGGCCTGGGTAGGGGGGGTTAACGAGGGGTTAGAAGTGGTAGAAACAATCAATTTTACAAATGGAGCACCATAGATGCTCCAATAGGAGCCGGTGTCATCAGGTGACACTCAAAATGAGTGTCAATGGAACCCTCCGTTATTTATTATTGTGGTTGTTGCCATTGTTCTCTACATTGACCTTGTTAAACTTGCCGTTTGGTGGCTCTTCAACTTTTTCAGTTAATAGGAGCTAATGAAGAGGATGATGATGACTTTGTAGTCAATGACAATCTATCACATGGAAAGGGCCCCAAAGCCGTAAACAAATCTTCAAGAGGCCAAAAGTGTCTTTATTCAACACCTAGGGACTCCAAGTTCTCTCAGACAAGACCACTAAAGGACCTTTCGAATTCTGGGGGCAATAAAAAAGATTCTTCAAGCAGAAAGAAGCGTGACAGTAAACCCAGCCCTTCCTACTCTTCCCAACCCGTGTCGTTCATATCAAGCGGCATAATGGGTTCAGAGACAGCTGAGCAGAAGGCTGCTGATGAACCAAAGGAGTCAAGTGTGTCCTGCTCAGTGCAGAACTACGGCGCATTCGAGTTGCACACAACCGGTTTCGGTTCCAAAATGATGGTTAAGATGGGCTTCACGGGTGGTGGATTGGGCAAGGACGGGCAGGGCATTGCAGAGCCCATCCAAGTCTCCCAGCGTCCTAAGACACTCGGTTTGGGAGCTCCTGTTGCTGAACCGAGCACTGTTCAGGTAATCAAATTCTCATTTACCCTTTGTTTGGATGGGGAGAGAAAATGAGATGAAAGAAAATGATAGGAAAGATAATGGAGGGAAAATGAGGTAAAAAAGTTAGTGTTTGGATCCATAGAAAATGATAAGAGAAGGGGAAAAAAGGTCGAAGAAAATGAAATTCGGGTTTTACGGATTTCTCACCAAAATTGGCAAGAAAACGTTTTAGGCGGGACCCATAGCTTTTTTTTCTCTCTTCCTCCTCATTTTCTCGCCCAACCAAACGGCAGAAAATGCTTGTTTTCTCACCTTCAATTTTCTTTCCTCTTCTTTTCTTGTCATCCAAACGCACTGTTATGGTGCTTTTGGGCCTCTATTAGTACTAGGGAAATGGCAAAAAACGACAAAGGAAGTTGTTTTCTTATGTTTCGTTTTACCTTAGAAATACGGTAAATTCTTATATGGACCTTATAAGAAACATGAACCTTCTCATATAAGCAAAAAATTATTACTCCACGTAAGAATATCGGTATGGGGGGTAAAATCCATACATTGAAGGTTAAACTTGAACCTTACCAAACATAAACTCAATCTATATTTCTTCTCTTCTAATTTTCCTCTTTATTTTAATTCTTTAGAACGTTTCAAATTCCAAAGGGACCCACACTGAGTCCCTTGGCCGCGGCGAGGGCCTCCCGAGAAGAAGTGCGAGCTCGGGTAAGAAAGGATGTTCTAGAATCATCCATAAGCCCCGGGACGGATCTCAAGGGTTTGCAACGTTTGAGAATCACACAAAAGGTTTTGGATCCAAGATGATGGCGAGGATGGGGTTCGTCGAAGGCATGGGACTTGGGAAAGATTCGCAAGGTATCACCACTCCTATACACGCCGTGAGACGGCCTAAATCTCAGGGATTGGGTTCCAAAAAATGATGGTAGCTTTGACTGCAAAAGGGGGTAATACTCGGGTTCGATTTCTGAAAACAGAATGTCTTCACCCCCTCCCTCTATGGTGTGATAATGTCTTCCTAATTTTAGGGCTGTGTTGATTTATTCCAAGCTAATTAGTTAGTCACTGTTATATCCTATGTCCCACCATTTCTTTTGAGTAAAATACTGTTTTTTATTATTTATTGAGATCTCTTGAACTGTTCTTATACCTGACAAAGATTAATGTTCAGCAATGTTAATTACAAGTATATATTATTCACATGGTCAAAATATATGGAGTGTTTCTACTGATTTTAATCTTCCTTTTCGAGATTCATAGAGTAAAATTATATTCTCTTTCGTAGGATATTTTCTTTGATTGTTTGATAAAATAATATTTTAATCATATCTCTTGTTTATATGAGTAGAGTTATTTTTACTATATACTACTCGTAATATTTGAATAAGGGCAATGTTCTTTTGACCCTGACCTATAAAAATGAGTGACTTGATATTATCTTCTCTTTCATAATTATGACTCATCTACCATACATGTCACATCCTACCTTATTAGAAATTGAAGGTAACATTAAAAAAAATAATACTCCGTATCAAATACACATTTTTAGGGTGTATTTTTTTCGTCTTTGAATTATTATTATTTTTGGGGATGAAGTATAAGGTTTAGAATCTCATTACAAAAGTTTAAAACCTACACCTCAAATTCAAACAATGAAGCCTAGAAGAATGTCGTTGTAATGCTTATGTAATATAATTTCTTCGGTATCACTTACGGAGTAATATTTACTCTGTATTATTATTAGCACATTTCTATTATCCTTTGGTTTTTAATTTCTTTGTAAACCCATGATAGAAGTTTTCTGGAGTTGCTCCTTGACCGGGAGAGGCCGCACTAACTACAAGCCAATCACATCTTGAATATCATACTTCTAGAAAACACATTATTAAAGTTTAAACTATATTTATTTTTTAATGTTATTATCTCGATTACAAAGTAGTATCTGCCTACACCCTTTTATTACCTTTTTATTTATAAGTAAACTTTAGTACTATCAAAAAAACAATTATGGAATACTATGATAAAATAATAATAGAAAATATAAACTCGTATAAAGTGTTCTAAATTTATTTTTTTCTTATAAAATACTCTGTAATATATAGGGTTAAACTTAACAAGTTTGGAATTCAAAAAGAATTTTATATTTTAATTAAAACAACAAACGAAATATGATTAATTTATAAATTGCAGAGTAATATTAACACACACCAAATTATATATTTCAAAGCGTTTGTTTTTTTGTGTACACTAAGGTGGCAAGAACGATTCAAAGATTATGCTATTTAACACGAAGACCATGTTTATCTTTATTTTAGTATAAATTATGTTCATTTTTTGAATTGTGTTATTGTAGTTTCCACCCATAAAATATATATCTTCTCACTTATTTTGTATGGATTTATAGTCACATTTCTTTTCCTCATGAGTGAAATAAGACTAAAGATTTAAATTTTATATAATGATCATGAACCTAACGGTAATAATAGAATGTCTTTTTTTAGTATAGATTATGTTTAATTATGGAGTAATTTAGATTTTAGGAGAGATTAAAAAAAATACAAAAACAAAAGCAAAAAACAAAAGGGAGTCCTGTATTCTCTCCGGTCCGCTGTTCGTTAGGCAGTGTTGGCGAGTTCGTTACTTCGTTCCATTCAGTTCGACGTCAATTTGCGAGCGACGATGCACGATCTTCCCTCCGAAATTTCTCTTCAATGGCTTCCGGATCGAAATGCAACAAGGTTTGGAACGCCGGAGGATCGTCGGAGAACGGCGCCGATTCCAGAGGCGTCGGCGGAGGAAACGCCCCCTTCGAGCACTCCGGCTGGGTGTATCATCTCGGGGTGAATTCAATCGGCCACGAGTATTTCCGCCACCGGTTCCTCGTCGTCCGCGGCATGTTCGTCCAAATGTATAAGCGCGATCCCCGTGAAAATCCGCGCGCTGTAAGCTTAATGATAAGAAATTGTCATCGTTTGCTTTATATTGAGCTATTTTGGTTGCATTTAGTTGAATTGATTTTAGGTTTAGAAATTGGGGCTGAATATCTAGGGAATTAAATTGAATTGCATTTTTCAGCTGCGATATTCGTATCAGGCTAAAATTCTTTGTTTACTTCTACTTTGTCCAGAAGCCCGTTAGGAGGGGTGTTATCGGGAACTCATTTGTCGTGGAGGGATTAGGACGCAAAAGAGTTAATCATGGGGTAAGAATTCTGTATTTGCCTGTAATTCAAGTGCTAGATGCATTTACCTTGCTTTATCTCTTAACTATCTCCAGACTTCACTCGTAGGGATCCGTATTATTTGGTTTTCTGTTTCCATTTCCTCGCTGTTTGTGTTGTTCCACTTTATCTTGCCTTCCCATTTTCAGAACTAAGTTATCTTCTTTTTATGCATGTTTTAGGATGTTTATGTAGTGAGGTTTTACAACCGCTCGGATGAGACAAAAAAGGGTGAAGTAAGCGTTTTATGTCATTCTTGATAATGTTAGGATCTTACTTCAAGTGGTTTTCCATGCCGGTTTAGTTAAATATGTATATTGTCAATTCACTTTGCTTTTGCTTTTGTTTAAGGCTGTCTGATCCATTTAACATTTGAGTTACTTTTAATTGGTAAACAGATTGCTTGTGCTACTGCTGCAGAGGCTGAAAAATGGATGGAAGCCTTTGATCTTGCAAGGCAACAGGTAATATGAAACAGAATGGTGCATTTACACGGTCAAGGGGTTTGCTTTATGCGCTCTAGATGAGACCAAAATCTTGAACTGATTTCCATTTGTGAAACTATCAAGCCCTAGCAAAATAATTTCATTTTTCTTCTTTTAATCTCATTGCTGACCATTTAATTGTAGGTGGAGGCTTGGATTTCAAGTGGTGATGCTGCAGTCCATAAGCTGCATGCCGAAAACGAGTATGGTTACACACTACCCTCTTCTTACAGATGAAAGCCACATCTGGATGTGTTATATGCTGTTGTGTGTCCCTTTTTTCAAATTTTTAAAATTCTATTTTTCTATTTCCAAGGCTTTTTTGGAATCCTCCTACACCTTACTCTGTTTGGATAATATTAGCGATGAGGGTAGGAACAAAGATACCATTTCAACATGTTCTTACAATGCTAACTCATGTTCAGTGCTCATGTTTGTTATTGACTTTTATATAATATACCTTCCTCCTGTTATCTTTCAAGTAGCTTCATTACGAGGATTTAGGACTCTCCGGGATTATTCATGGCCTGCAAATTTAAGTTCTCTGTTGTTGAAAGAACCAGTTTTTAAGTCTTTGAATCCTGATTGTCATGTACTTGTAATTGTCACTTTCAAAAAGAAGAATGACCTGTTATTTGATACGGAGTATTTTAAAATTCAAACTAAGGTTATATCATTTTTTGAAGGATTAACCGTGAAGGACATCGACCTAGGGTGCGGCGGTATGCAAATGGATTGAAAGAGCTAATAAAAAGAGGGCAGGGTTAGTTTGTGGAGACATGACTTCTTCTTCCTAGAGACATTATTTTACAATTCTCTATCACGCACTTATATGTACCTCTGTAGGGTTTTGCTTTTGTTTGTGTGTGTGTGTATCACATTTCATTAAAACGGTCGATGAAAAGGATTTGAAACATTAGGATGAATTGGTCACCAACAATATAACAGGAGACTGCAGTTTGTATATTCCCGTTTGATGATATTATTCCACGTCATAAATTTTAATGTAATTCTAGATTCTTTAATTTATCTCAACAAGTCTTTCTTTCATAATACATGAGCTGGTTCAGTCCCTCTCTTCAAGAGAATATATAATACTCCATAGTTTCATCATGTGGATCGTGTTCTTATCTAGCACTCCATACATATTAGAATGAATGGGCTTCGTGCAAACCAGCATTTCTATAAGAATAAAAGTACCTTTAAATGTTCTTGTAAATAGGGACGGAAAAGCTTTTACGGCTATCATCAACCTTATGCGCTGACAGCACATCAGAGCTATACTATGAAGCACATGGTGGGGATGCAACCGAAGGCCGTGAATGGAAATGCATCCGCACGATTAATGGTATGTCCTTTTCTGTTTTTAGAATCTAGTCTTTTGAGATAAACAGGGTTTAGTTGATGCTACTCTATTTGAGCAGTGAGTGCCGGATCATTGGATCGAGCTTCCCTTGATAGGATGTGATGCCAAGGGCAACTTGATCTAGTTATCAAGCATCCAGTCGCCCAACTGGGTAGCATCAAAATCTAACACACTAGTTGATCATGCAATTTTTACTTATTTGGACTTTCATGCTCTTTAGAATTTTCATTTTATGCAATTTGAAAAGGGAAAAACACTAATATTGAGATAAAGATTATGAGAGTCTAAGCTCTCTGTCCTTTATCATATAATAAATGTACAGAACATTCATTAAGACACAGGCTATCCAATGGGTTGTTCAAATTACGGCTATGCTAGGGATACCTTTCTAGATTTCAACACATTTGACTCAGATGCACTATTTGTTTTGTTCCATTCCATACTGGACTATATCCAAGACCTCCTTTATCATATATTCGTATGCACTGAATGGCGTGCTAATTTTTTTTGGCACAAGTTGCCATTTCTGAATTTAGTGGCTCTATTATGATATAGAGAGAGTAGCCACATTGAACGTTGTTGTATGTTCTTGACACTATTCCACTAATCAAAACATGGTTTTTGGCAATATTTTAGATGATGGGTGCTACAGAATTTCTGGACATTGATCGCATTTATTCAATTGAACCTGGCATTCAAAAATATTGATTAAAAAAATGAATTTAACATATGGAAGTCCAGAACTCACTTTGTTTTGTTGCCACTGGTGTTGGGTTTAACTTGTACTGAAAAGTAATCATCAATGGTGGTCTTTACTCTGTTTCTATGTGATATATGGCATTGTGACCAAATTTCTAGTAACAGCGTCCAGTGAGTTTGGTAAAAACTGCATTGGGCCCCATATATGGTATAAATATTAGAGATGCATGTGCAAGGCGCCATAATTAGCTCCACACTGGAGAAACTTATAACAAAACATATGGTCCACGAGTCCATCTAAAACATAGGGGTTAGTAATATAATCTCTAGATCTATGTGGTAAAGTAATTTCAAATATAGGGGAACGTAATTATTAGAACTAACCAAGTTTTAAGTAACAGTATGTGTACTTGCTGAATGAAGCTCAGAGTGATTTGTTAAATTGTAGATTACTCAAGAGTGTTGCTTCATTTGCTTCTGTGTAACTTTTTTATCTGCTTCTTGTAGTGTAGGTGTTCGAATATTTGAAGATGTGGCAGAAGCAAAGGTATCGATTCAATAAACATCATTCTTAATTTGAAAGTCGTGTAGTCATGCTATAGCCTGATTCTTCTAAATTGATTGCTTGCAATGAGGGAAACCTGATTTTATTACTGCTTTTGGTATCCACATATTAAAAGGGATTCCCTTATTAAGGTTCTATTAACTTATTTGTCTATGCATGCACAGAGTTGTAAAGTTGTTCTTGTCAAGGCTGTTGGTGTTGTTGAAGCAAGTGCAAACACTATTTTTGATATTGTGCTAAATCTTGATCGACACCAAAGATATGAGTATGTCTGGCACTTATCTAGGTAGATATTTCTAACTTCTGATCTCTAAGTTTATCTAATAGTGCTATCCAACAGGTGGGATACATTGACAGGTGACCTGGAGCTGGTTGCTTCCTTGAATGGGCATTATGATGTTGTTTATGGGACATTTGAGCCAAGACACATGACTTGGTAATAAATTAATTACTCAATTATTTTAGGCATAATTGTTATTCTGCATCTAGAATTCTTCATTTGATTATTCCTTTTTTATTTTATGATGTAGATAGTTTATGTTCTTTCTTGGCATGTGTTTTATGTAAGTTAGCAATTATTGCTGTCCCCACCCCCTTCTTTTTCTTCCCTCTCGCTGACATGTATAATACTCCGTGTTAGTGGAGATGGGTGTGGACAAAATAGGTAATTCAACAAGCTTCTAGGAAATAAACATAGGGATCTAATTTGGAAAATAAGCTGAGAATGGATGAGTGCAAGAGAAAGTATGATTGACGAATACAAGAGATATGTCAATGACTACTAACTCCTGACTAGAATTTGGTGCCTTTCATGCATGATTTTTTATTCTTTCTATTTATATTCCTTACTAGGTTGAGATCTTTTATGGACATGCATTTTGCTCCACTGCAAATGGTTATGTGTTATGCTTATGCCTTTGGATGTAACTTTACTAAACTATTCCTAACTCAAGAAATGTTTGGCTATAATTATCACAATTCACAAGATACATAAGTTTAGATTCTTTTTGCTAACAAGCCAAAATTTTATGTTTGCTTCAGCCTGCTTGTAAAGATGTGTTAGTGCATTGTCGCTATGAGCTATGCTTGCAACTATGATTTGCTTTCTTCTTGAGGATTAAATCCTGAAAACAGTACTCTGCCATATTTCATCGTCTTAAGCACAACTTAGTTCTATCCACTAAGATTTGTTTTCACAGGTGGCACTCTAAGAGAGATTTTGTCTTCTCCCGGCAATGGTGTCTCGGGCAAGATGGAACATACAGTAAGCAATTCTTCTTGAATTCCAAAATAGGTTCTTGGTTTGAACCGATCACCCAATAAACTTATTAAGTAAAATTGTGGTTGGCATTTATTTAGAGGAGAGATAATGTGGAGCATACTATTCTTTGCTTAAAATGGAACAAAAACCTTATTTTGGGACAGACAGTATTTAAAAAAACTTCTTTGGGGGCTGAGGGCGTGTGAACCCAATGTCCATAGTCCATACTCTTATCAACTTTTTTTTAAAACGAAAGCACAACTCTTATCAACTTTTTGGGGTCAGAAAGCTGTACACTGCCAAAATGCATGGTCAACAATAAATTTTGGTGCATTCTATTGACAATTTATCAGGCTTTCTTTTTAAATTTCTTTTTTACAGAAGAAATAATTTAAACACGAGAGAAGATTAAAGGAAAAGCATAGTGGTTAATGGTTCTAGTTACATGGAAAAATAGCATACAGAAATAATTAAGACATGGAATCTTCAATGACTTACTGTAAGAGTGTAACACATCAAAATATATCCAAAGAAGGCTTGGCTGAACCAATGCCCTGACTAATAGTTTTCATTATATATTCAATTGCAGATAATGAAACAAAGTTTATGCATTCAGATATAAATATTATTGTAAAACCCCTCATATTGATTATAAGTGCATTCGTTCAAATATGCAGCAATCTTGCAGTTTCCAGCTGTTCATAAGAATCGCGCTCCAAAATCTGGTTATCGTCGTACAAAAATAAATGGTAAGAGAACATCTTGTTACTCATTATACAAATCATATTATTGACTCAATAAACAAAGTCATATTATCTTGCTTACAGTAGAATGGTCAAGATTAAGCATTAATTGGTAGAGCTCATATTATGTTTCTTTTTTATAACTTGTATATGGAAGAAGAGATAAATAAAGAGTTGGTGTGTTTGTCGCTAAATGAAGCCTTAATGAGCGCATGCCCGAGCTTTAGTGAGAACTCATCACTCTCCCAAATGAAGCCTTAGTAGGCATGCCCAAGCTTATCCATGCTTCTCATTTGATGTTTCACTGATCATGAAAATAATGTTAACCTTGATAGAAATAAGGTTAAGAACTCATTTTTTCTGGCTTCTCAATTCTTCATGACTTTGCTAATATTGCAATATAGCTTCATCATGGGAGATTAGGAATATAAGCACATCATCCAGTTCTGCAAAATGTCTTGTGACACTAATGGTGGAGATTCGCTCTAAAAACTGGCTCAAATGGAAGAAGAATGATTTCTCTGAATTTGAGAAGACTATTCCGTTTGGACTGCTAAGTCAAGTGGCAGGTGAATCACTTTGTTCTCTTGTATCTTCTTTGTAGAGGTTCATCCTTATGAGGTGCTTTTGGTTTTCATATAGTCTTGTGAAAGTGAAGTGTGAGTTGCACCTAGTTAGTAGTTATCACCTGTGGCGCTTTCACTCTTATATTTCTCTTTCTCCAGCCCCATGGTTCCACTTAATTCTCTATTATTTTTGTAGGTCTAAAAGAATATATTGGAGCAAACCCGACACGCCCTTTCAAGTCATCTGGTGTAAGCTTTAATTCAAAAAAATCAGATGTTCTTGTACAGAATGATGAACTTGAGGGCGCAGACGGGGTGGATATGTTTTACGATGCAATTGCATCTGACTCGTCATCATCTGACGATGACAGTGATGATGAAGTAGAACCCATGAATGAGGTCTGTAATCCTTTGGTTCACATTGAAGCAATCTGAGGAGGTATAATTTTTTTGTTAAGCCTTATAATATCCATCTTCCATTCACCCTGCTTAGGATAAAACTTTTAAACCAAAGAAGGTTTCATGGGCAACTGCAAGATTGGCACTGAGTCGAGCTTCAGGTATCTTCTGAGTTATCATCTTCTTTTTGCTTCATCTCTTGGAGTATATACATGCTACATTCAAATTTAGCAAATTGCTATTCGAAATGTTTTCTTTCTAAATTATACTTGTACCTTGTTCGCCTTAATGAGTATTGAGATATTAGGTGGCCAAAATTAGTCATTTCAACAATATTTTTGCTTAGGATTAATGATGGAGTAGATTGAAATCACACTTTAAACTCCTTTGCTTCTCTTACTTCATATGAAGTTTGGAGAGTAAATGCAGGCATGCAACAATGCGACAAGGTTCTAACGGAATCAGAATCTCTGTTTTTTACAGGGGTAAGGTTGTGTACATCTTGACCCATACTCCAATGGAGTTAGGACTTGGGATTATACTGAATTTGTTGTTGTTGTTGTTTTTGTTGTAGGAGGTTTGTGGAGGTGTCAATGAGCCACCACCCACAAGATAGTGGAAACAATATAAGAAACTAGTTGTTGGATAATTATAGGGGAATGATAGTACTATGATGTGTATTATTAATGATGATCTTGAAGGAGTGCAATCCTTGGTGTTTATTTAGGAAGTGAAGTATGGAAATTTGGAGTTTAGGACCCTAAAATTTGAATTGTGTGAGGTTGTGTGCTTTGAGCTATATGATAGTCGAACTCCATGTATTTACTCAACACTATTACCTGACGTGACCACCATACAACATGGTGTTGTATTCTTGATCAGGAAAACATCATGCATTTAAGGAAACATACTTGTGTGATAAATATGGTTTCAAATTTGTTCTCCCTCTGTCCCATAAAAATGTTCCACATTTCCTTTTCTGCCAATCCCAAAAAAGGTTCCACTTTCCACTTTTGGAAATAATTTTGTGGCCCTTATAATTTCTTTCTCCTCTGCTTCACTTTGAACCATGCAATTTCAGTTTTCTTAATCTCCATGTCAAGTCAAAGGTAGAGCCTTTTATGCGACAGATGGAGTATAAGGTAATTCTTCAATGGAGTATTCCGCACTTCCATGGCTACTTAGAAATGGTCTAAAGATCCATTAAATAATTTCGACAAGAGTTATCTATGAATTTTGATCAGAAAACATAGGGTAAATTGGTAATGCCTTCCAAAAGTCATATCCTGCTTCAGTTGTTCAAATGCCCTTCATTATTACGGAGTATTCTTGCTACTGTTATTGTTGTTGTTGTTACAATGTTATTATTAGTACTGTTACTACTACTATTACTACTACTATTACTACTACTATTACTACTACTATTACTATTACTATTACTATTACTATTACTATTACTATTACTATTACTATTACTATTACTATTACTATTACTATTACTATTACTATTACTATTACTATTACTATTACTATTATTAATTCTCGTTTGATATCAAGTGAGGATCTTTGGAATACTTGGCTTGTTCTTGCCCACACTTCTACTATAGAGTACAGAGAACTTTTCCTTATCATGGATTCTAAATACTAATAACATCCCCATTCTAATCAGATGTAGCCAAAGAGAGCATATTTTCCTGACCATAAAATCTGAATTTGGCTTATTAAACACTTGGTTACTCACTTGATCCATCAACAGATATTGGCAAGAAGTTCAAAACAAATTCACCTGCTACATCTCTCAGCCCAAGTTATTTCCATGGTACCATGAAGCAAGGGAATGATGAAAATGACATTAGCTGCTGGAGTTCTCCGGGGGAATTGGGATTCATGATCAGAGGGAAGTCATACCTAATCGATAATAGAAAGGTATTTCATTCATCATGCGACTCCTCACTTTAAGATCCATCTCAAAGATATCTAGTAGATTGCTATATTCATTGATGAGAACAGACTGAAACTACCTTAACAAATACGGAGCAGTTTACATCAAAGGGAAGTTCTTTAAGAATATTAGGTCAAAATATATTTTAGTTGTCCATGAAGATGAAAAAATAGAGCTAAGGACAATTGTTAAAAATAGTTAACAGTTTTGCGCTATTCAATGTTAATCATACATAATTGTATCTTTTTATATTATGGGTAACAAGTACAACATAACTTAAATTTATTATATCTTTTTAAAAAACACAACAAATGATAGTTAGATTTATAATAAAATCAACTTGTTGTACATGAAAATCACCCGTGCAATGCACGGGTAAAAAAGCTAGTTACAACATAACAAAAGAACTTCTTGATGGTTAATTATGCTTTTGCAAGTTAGTACATGGTGAAGAATTGAGAAATATGTCAAGCTTGCGGTAGTTTGCTAGATTGGATATTCTCTTGAATGATCCTCACAATATTATCAAACACATGAGTGAAGAGTGTATCCACTCTCCCTTAAGGCCTTAAGTGAGGGTCCCCGGTTTCTCTCAACTCACTACTTTGATCCATTTGAAGATAAAAGGTGCTTATTGATGGAAAGTATTATACTTGATTCTTACTATTCAGCCTTCCAAAATAGTTTTTGAAAACTTCCATAGTTCTCTTTGGATAATGATTTGATTTGCTTATTGGAAAATTTCGTTTAATGCTTGATTTTATGATGTGATGTGTGTTGAGATTCTAAGTGCGTAAAACTCCGAAAAATTCCCATGCGTTGGGTCAGTTGGGATTTTACCCAAGTAAGACTCCTGTTTAAATTTGATAATGTTCTACCATTGCTCAGTCTCGTTGCAGTTGATTGGTACAAGGCGGATAATTGCATCACAAAGTTTGCATTGCACCCCAAGTGTCTTGTTCAGGTGATGAAAGTACACAACCCTGCTATATTTGTCATTGGTTTGGCTTGTTAAGAACTTCTGATATAGGTTCTAATAATTGAGAATTTCTTGCAACAAGAAGTTGTGTACAATCATAGATCGGACCTATGTGGGCAGATTCAGTCTTCTCATTTCTAGATTATACTTAATTAGCTATTTACAAATAACATATTATTGTTCATGCAGTCTGAAGCGGGGAAAAAAGTTCCATTCATCCTTGTCATTAACCTTATGGTACGCGTTGGCAAACAATACTGCTTTTCACTTTTTTATGTTTTCTTTCAAAAGTAAATGCTCTTGGAATCTCTTTTTATTCATGGCTACAGCCTAGGTTAGTTGTTTTCATATGAAATTAGCTTATATACTTACAAATAAGGTTGCATGATGATAAATGAATATTTTGACCGCTTTGGCTCTTCAAGAACATACGGTTGCATACTATGCATAACACGGTTTTAAATGAAAACTGGAATGACTTTGATAAGAATGAGATACTCGTATATTATTATCTCATTTTAATTTGCCACATTTCCTCTCTCGAAAGTCCTAAAAATTGACCGCTGTAAATATTTGCCCTTGTTTGGTTTGAGGATTTTAGAGGGGAGGAGAGGGAAGTGAAGGAGTGGTGTGTGGTTGGTTTGGAAGTTAGAGGGAATGAGGAGGAAAGTGGATAAACTAAGACTCCTACACGCTCCTCGTATTTCACTCCTTAATTTAATTGGTCTACATTATTATTTTTATTCATATAGATCATATCTTTCTCATTATATTTTTGCCCCATAAAAAGAGTCAATATTGAGAAAAAGATGCTTGCCAAACATATGTTTAGTTAAACTAACAAATAAATTTCATGATTTTCACTAGTTGTACCTCACCAAAGATAAAGAGTTGTATTCTCAATGCTTACATCTGCTTACTTGTTTATTGTTAAGTATTATGTTGGTCAATTTAGCCAACAAAAAATATGATGTAAAGGCATAGTATTGTGTTAAACAAGATAAAATGACTTTGATAAGTCTAGTATCCTATTATTACTTCTGGAATTAATATGACAAATGATATCGTGAATTCATCTTCAGGTTCCAGCTAAACCAAATTACAGCCTGGTTCTTTATTTTGCCACCAATGAGCCTATCATTGAAGATTCATTGTTAAGAAAATTCATTGATGGAACCGACATGTTCCGTGATTCAAGATTCAAACTGATCCCAAGCATCATTGAGGTATGATCACAGTTGTCAGTACTCACTGTCAATATATTAAAAAAAAAGATTTGTCAGTAATCACAGTTCACACTTTTCATAACATTTTCTCCCCCCAGACATATATCAGCTTAATGCTTGTTACTTCAGGGACACTGGATGGTAAAGCGTGCAGTTGGAACTAAAGCGTGCCTATTAGGAAAAGCGGTAGCATGCTCGTACCTTTGTCAAGACAATTTTCTGGAGGTGGGATTCTGTAACCATGCGTTTTCTCTGCATTTTGAAAGATTTCACGAGTGCAGATTAATCAATCCACTATCTCAGAAGAATATATGGCTTTTTATTAATGCTATATTGTTATTGTCCCCCTTCTTGAGCCATTTGTTGTCTTAAGGGCTATTATATATTCCCATGGGAGCGGGGTTTACCCAGTGCATAGCCCATTGGGTAGCGACAATGGGTTTCCCTCATCTCCAAAAAGAATATTTTTGTCAAGCATCTAAGCAAGGAAACTCTGTGCTTGGTTCCCAATTCACCCTGCATACCATGTTAGCTCACTGAATTGATACTTTTGGCCCAAGCATTTCCTTGACTACTTAGAGCCCGTTCTTTTGGGCTCAAACTCTTAACGTCTAGTTTCTTCGTCAACACTCATAGCCAACTAGTTTATTTTCTCATAGAATTCATTACGGAGTACTTTTATCATTTTATGATCTAGATATTGGATATGATCTTTCCCCTCTTTCTCTCTGTGCTTGTGTCTATGATCTTAATAAGAACTTGTGTCCAGATTGACGTGGACATTGGATCATCCTCTGTTGCAAGGAGTGTCATGGGGCTTGTACTTGGATATGCATCTAGCCTTGTGGTCGATCTCGCAATTCTACTAGAGGTATCTCATTTTCATTTATATTGTTAAACCTTTTTCCATGGACCCCTTATAGCCACAAGGAGTGACTCCACCTTCAATAATGGGGAGCAAGTTTATATGGCGGGTGTTACCTTGCATAAACAGTTCTTGAACTCATCCTAAATTCATTTACCTTTGATCCATAGGCAAAAGAAGAATCAGAACTCCCGGAACAAATTCTGGGAACGGTTAGACTCAATCGTGTGACAGCGGATTCCGCGGTCCAGTTGGATGTTTAAAGTTCATTTGCACAATTTACATCTCCAGGTCAGCCATTTGTGTATCATCCAAGTCACTGCTACATAATGAATTTGACTTTTTTCTTTTTAGTAGAATTTTTGCACTTGTAAATATTTTTTGTAAAGTCTGCACTGTATTTATATGCACATTAATGCAACTCCCAACTTTTAAAACAAGATAGCTGGCCTTTTGCTATACCTTTCTTTTGGTGAGAGACTTTTTTGTTATCCACAGAAGGAAAAGAGGAAATGAATATATACAGTTGACACTGGAGTTGGGTTCTCATGTTTATACAGTCTGGTTAAGGGTTTGAGTATTTCACTAATGATATGTTTGGGAACTTGGATTTGAATTTCAAATTCAAATTTGGTTCAAATTCCACATTTGCAAAACTTAAAAATTATGAATTTGAGTCAAATTCATCTCATTAATAACAAGGCTTAATATGAAATCTATACACCTCACATTGTCATTTGAAATTCAAGAATTTAAATTTTAGAAATGAAATGTAAGTTCCCAAACACGAACTAAAGGGGTTTGCTTTTATTTTCTTATCCTTCAGATGAGTTTCTGCTCTGTTAAAAAATATTTATAATAAATTTAATAAAACTATTTTCGTATCAATATCTAATATCATTTTTATTTAAACTGATGTCAAAATTTATCAATTTTTACTAAAAAAAAATCAAAAGTAAACAAACACTCAGGGGCGAATGGAGTATAATTTGAATAAATTTTTTTTTAAATATGTCTCAAGTCCAGAACATTCTTCGATTATAGAGATCTTACTAAGAGACTGTTTGGCAGTGTGTTGCTTTTAATCATTTAGCTTCTGCTTGAGTAGAAGTAATTTTAATCTGTTTGGCATGTCAGCTTCTATTTTTCACCACCACTATTTTCTACATAGAACAACATTTCGGAGAAGCAGGTAGGAGGTGCTTCTGCTTTTAGCTTTTGTGAAAATCACTTTATCCATAAGTTAATCACTCCCAAACACCCTCTAAAACCCCTATTTTGTTTGCACGGAAAATGGAAGCCAAAACAAAGGAATTTGGAAATATTTGTTTCTTAGGGTGGAAGAAAAGATGTGTAATTAGCCCAAACCCGTAGAAGAAAGAAAAATACAAACACATTAGTGATAACATTATCTTCAATGATCTGTGAGACATAGGTGATGTGACTAGCACAGCCACAAAATATTCCCTAGAATCCCTACCCTAACTTAGAGGCTCAACATAATACCCAATACAACCCTTTTAAAAAAACTCAATAAAGACTATTAACTAATGCAAAATTTCATCAAACCAATGAGCGAAAATGAAGTTCTTAGGTAACATTGTTTGATTGTCCTGAATTTACTGGCCCATAATATTGAGACTATTTGCTTCATAGTAAAAACTAGTCTTTAAATAAATTTTAATGCTGTGAATAAAGTTGGCATTTCTAAAACACAGGGTCCCATAAAACTTTAGACCAAAGGTTGTTTTGGGCAGCATATTTGTGAAAAAAGTGAAATGTCTTACAAGTTTGGAGGGCATACATTAAAGGCTGACCTCTACTATAGACTCCTCACAATTGCTTGCATAAACAAGACAAAACACTACTCATAATAAATGACATGAGAGCATTCTTGACCAAGAAGCATGATACATGAAGGAGAAATCACACACATATCCTCTAACACTATGTTTGGTTCAAGGAATTCAAAAGAGAAAAGGAAAGAAAACATGGGGCAAAACAGTTTTTTTGGTTGGTTAACGAGGAAAAGAAAATGAGAAAGCAAAATGTACCATGAGGATGAAAACAAATTCCTTTCACTTTGGTGAGGAACGATGAACCAAACACATTGTAAGAGATGGGATGAAGAAATACTAGGGTTTTTCCAAACGTCTACAATGACAAAGGACAGCAACAAACCCAGTAAAATTTCACCACCCGATAGGGTTCGAAAATGACGCAAGAAAATGTAGGAGTGTGCACACCTCATAAGGGAAGCCGATTCGAACTAAAGACATCACCATTGAAGAATCTTTACCAGCTTGAAATATAAAACAAATCCACAGATATAACTCAAAACTGCAATAATATACTATACCAAAAAAAGCACCCCGAGAGGAACTCGAAGAATCCAAAGAACATCGAAATCCAACATATTGGTTCTCTCAACCATTAATTAACCTAATCCATGGATAAATCAAACAGTTTTCCACCATTCAAGCAGCCTAAAAAAAGAACCACCTTAAAACCCTAGCTTAGTGCGACGCCAATGCCTGCGCTTCGCATTGTACCTGAAAAACAATAATAAATTCGATTCAAGTTAAATATAAGAATCAAAACAGAAATCGAACTAAATAATAGTAACAATTTCAAGCTTTTAGGGGAAAAAATCGACCTGATTGTGTTACCGGTCCTCATTCGGATCCAACTCGGAATGGGTCGGTTCTGCCTCTGCTTCTTCGCGAGCTTCTTCTTGATCATGAAGGTCTTGTGTGACGGCTACACATTTGAATTATACATATCGAATAAGAACCATATTTCGGAGCATATAAATCAAAACTATAATCAATTCATGCAAAAATGATGAACGAATCGAAGCATTGTGTTGGAAATTCACCATTTTCGCGGTCGCGGGAGCTCTTATCGCAGATCTGCTCGTTTGAATACAAAACCCTAGGTTTTTGGAACTCCGGCTTCCGGGTTTTATGTATAATAAGGCTGAAAAACTGGGCTCAAAGCCCATAAATTATTGTCATATTTATGGGCTTGTTGTTGTTGTATAAGCAATGTATTGTATAACTGGATACACGGTGTTTTTCTTACATCTGTGGTGAGTACTCATTTACGAGTAATTGAATGTTTATTTTTGATCAATTAAATACTCATTTTCAAATAATTGATATTCATTTTTCTAAAATTTAGTCAAGATAAAATATGAGTATTTTGTTACTCGAAAATGAATGTCCAATTACTTAAAAATGAATACGAAAAAAATGAATATCATACATCTAAGTGTACGATATTTTCCATACATCCACATGAATATTCATTTTCGAATAACTAAGTACTCATTTTCGAGTAACAGAATAATCATTTTTTATCATAACTGAATTTTAGAAAATCAGTATTCAATTACTCAAAAATGAGTATATAATTGCTTGAAAATGAGGAAATGAAGATTCAATAACTTATAAATGAGCACTGCCGTAGATGCACGGGAAACACTGTATAACCAGTTATAGGGTACATATTGTGGTGTATTGTAACTTTAATTTCCAGTTTCTCTTAGAAGTTAGAACACACTGAAGAAGAGTGAGTTTTAATAAGGATGTATCGTGTATAGACTTATTATTTATATTTTAAAGTCATGTATTTTCTTCATAATTTTAATATGTTCATGGGATTATTTAAGGTCATGTATTTTTATTCGTATTTTTAAAGTCATTGATTATTTGTGAATAATGTTGCTGGTTTATGAAATTTCGTGGATTCTTATATGATTTTTTTATAGATAAAATATGAGTATTTTGTTACTCGAAAATGAATGTCCAATTACTTAAAAATGAATACCACAAAAATGAATATCATACATCCAAGTGTACGATATTTTCCATACATCCACATGAATATTCATTTTCGAATAACTAAGTACTCATTTTCGAGTAACAGAATAATCATTTTTTATCATAACTGGATTTTAGAAAATCAGTATTCAATTACTCAAGAATGAGTATATACTTGCTTGAAAATGAGGAAATGAAGATTCAATTACTTATAAATGAGCACTGCCGTAGATGCACGGGAAACACTGTATAACCAGTTATAGGGTACATATTGTGGTGTATTGTAACTTTAATTTCCAGTTTCTCTTAGAAGTTAGAACACAATAAAGAAGAGTGAGTTTTAATAAGGATGTATTGTGTATAGACTTATTATTTATATTTTAAAGTCATGTATTTTCTTCATAATTTTAATATGTTCATGGGATTATTTAAGGTCATGTATTTTTATTCGTATTTTTAAAGTCATTGATTATTTGTGAATGAATGTTGCTGGTTTATGAAATTTCGTGGATTCTTATATGATTTTTTTATAGATTTTTTTATATTAACAAAATATATATATAATAATAAAATTAAAAAAAAATCATAGCATCCTAATTAATATACTATATCCCGATCAAAAGTGACAATAAAAAGAATATTTTCTACTAGCAAAACAAATAATGCATAAAATTAATTATTTTAATAATTTATATTTCATTGAGTTATTGTTTATATCTGTTGTGTGACATACACAATCGTCATTCGTTAGATTTTTTCTATTTATTTTGTGTTTCAAAATCATTTCATTCATAAATTTCCACTGTTTTGCTTATTTGATATTCATCTAAATATATTTTTTAAATTTTTTGTTCCCATTTATTTTATAGGTATTTAATAAAAGTCAATTTCAAATTTAATTAGAAACAAAAAGTTTTGTGATTTAAAAAAGGGAAATTTACTTATTAAATAGAACTAAAATATAATGACTTTTCGTAAATAGCATCATATATTTTTATTGAGAAATTATTATTTTCCAATGTAGCACTTTTAGTCATTATCCATTAGTCATTATTCAAATAAATATTCAATATTTCTAGACATTATTCCTCCTTCTAAATATTATTAAGTGCTATTTAGGGAATAAAAAAGTTTAAATCTTACATTGAAAAATGATTTATGTTTTAGTGCTATTTAGTACAAATATTTCTTTAAAAAATTTAGTACAATAAAAAACATGCTCTATATGTCCCAAAATGGTATTTTCTATTCGAGTGATGTACAAAGTCCCATGATTTTTTTAAGATTATTTTATTTACAAGTAGGTAAAAATAAAAATAAAACATACATATTTAAAATTACATCAAAAGTTCTACAAAATAAGAAATGATAATATTTTTTTAATTTATCAAATGATTAAAGAAAGCATGGAAATAAACAAAAGTTATCGAAAACCGTAATAGTGAAGAGGCACATCGTTTTAGACGGATCTAGTAAATTAGATGAAATAGAAATGAAAGACTTTTGGAAAAATGATTTAGATTGCTAAAAATGTTTAGAAAATAGTGGCAGATTAAGTTATAAAAAGTATCATGATTTAAAAAGTTCAAAGCAATATGGCTGAAATACACGATTGGTCTTTAAACTTTATGACATGTGTACGATTGATCCTTCAAATTTTAAAAGTTTATGAATAATCCTTCAAGTATTAATAATTATCCACATGCAGTCCTTCAAGTTTTAAAAATTATAAGTAGTTCTTCAAGTATTCATCAACCCTCCAAATACAGTCCTTTTACGATAGACGTTAAAAAATAAACGGATTACTACTTCCATATATATAATGCGAAGTACTTATCCCTACACGTAAGTGATTAATTTTTACGTGTAGGAAATTAATCGGTTTCTACAATTCCAATCAAAATTTTGTATTTTTTACTATACAAATTGAACCCTTTGAAAGTAAAATTATCCCTCAGCATTTACAATTGGATCAGAGGAAAGGACCCACTGCGCTACGCTCCTCGGAGGACGGGGTTAGCGCCGGGCACCCATTGCAGGTCAGAAGTTGCACTTGGCACTAAGGCGAAAGTTATACTTCCTCCGTATTAAAACTATCTTGCCGTTTGTGTTTACGAGGTTTGACCAACTTTATTTTCAATTCAATTTATTTGATTGTAGGTGTAAAATTAAAATATAAATTTTATATATTTAAAAACTACATCGAAAGATCTACAAAACAATATGTGACAAAACTATATTATTTTATTATGTAACTAACGAAAAATAGGTAAAAAATGATTTAAGTTTAACCGTGTAAATAGTACTATGAAGATAGTTTTAGGACGGAAGAAGTATAAATATATGAAGCTAGTTGCATCTGGCACCCATTGCAGGTCGGAAGTTATATATATGGAGGTAGTAGTGTGTTTAACTTTAAACGTATACCAAAAAAATGATTTGCATTTGGAGTGTTGATGAAAACTTAAAGGGCTACTAATGAACTTTTAAAACTTGAAGGACTAGATTTGGAGGTTTTTGAATACTTGAAAGACTGTTTATTATGAACTTTTGAAACTTGAAGAACCAATCATGCACAACTCAAAAAATTGAAGGGCCAATGGTAGATTTTATTCAAGCAGTATTATAGAAAGTAATTTAATAAACGTGTTTCATATTTTAATTAATAAAATCGTATAAAAATCTGCCTAGAGTATTTCAAACAAAAAAAATTGTGATCTTAATCTAGAAAAATAGAATATGTGGTCCGCAAGACCGCAAGCTTGATATTGAAATTGTTAAAGAAATAATTATTCTAAATAGGACTAAAACAAAAGTCTTTTTTCAATATAGGATTTAAATTTTTTTATTTCCAAAATAGTACTTATTAATGTCTGGGAGAAATAGTGTTCAGTGATGGTGTGATGATGGATATTTACTTAAATAATGACTAATAATCCTATATTGATAAATACAACATATGATCCTATATTAAAAAAATTATTATGTTTTAGTTCTATTGAGGTAAATGTTTTTAGTTCTATTGAGGTAATTTTTCCATACATAATCATAAGTTAAGTGAGGTTAAGTGCATAATAGCAACCTGCTTCTCTTTGGTTTGGTAGAATTGATAAATGTCCATGTTTTAGTGGTTTAACTAATGCGAGTACAAATTGTAGTATGAGTATAACAACTTTGATTTTAATTACTTTTTTTTTTAAATTTCAAAGGTATCTATTTACTTTTAAGTTGTACGGTAATAAGTAGTCCCATTAATTTTTTTAAAAAAAATTAAATAGTCCCATTAAAATAGTCCAATTATATTAATTAACAACATCAATAGCAACAACTACATGGGTTGGAATCAGCCTATATAATATGGATGGATTTAACGAAACTTTTAATTATAGCTGAAACTTTATGATATTTCACAATAGACTAAGAAAAACACATTATTCAAACTTAGATCTAAAAAAAGGAAATGGAAGCAAAATAATAAATAAATAAATAAATAAATAAAGGAGAATGGAAAATGAAATGAAAGCCAAATATATAAAAAGAAGATTGTTCTTCAATACGGTCAAAACTCAAAAGGTTCAATATCTTCAAAGGAGGATGACGCAACACATAGTCCAAAACTCCAAATAGACAAAAAAAAGTCAATAGATTCCAAAATAGAATTTCTTATTTGAATTCAAAAAAGTTAAAAATGATAGTATTTTATACGGAGTAATAAAAAATATGAAGTATATAGTTAAAATTTATCTAGTGAATAAATAAAAAATGTTACGTATTAAAAACTCTTTTCTATACTAAAAAATCAATAATATATATAAAAACTAAACATTTCAAAAATAAAAATGTAAATTATATACTCCCACGTCCCAAAAAGATGTTCGTATTTCATTTTTTGCGCATCCCTATAAAATACTTATATTCACACCTAAAATGGTTAAGATTTACCACATTTCTTCTTTATTATAGGTAGAAATTGTTTTGAATTTTTTTAAGGCATTTGGGACGGAATATAATTATTTTATGAGAAATGTAAAAAATAAAATAAGAACATTTTTTGAGACGGGGACTATTATATTTTTAGGATGGAATAGCACATTTTACAAGTAATCACTGACATAAATATAGTCTCAATATGGTCCCCTCTTGAATTGCTTCAAAAGAAATTCATTTATTCTCCCACTTTAATTAATTCTCATTTACTACTGCTTTCTTTTGGGATGTGAGTACTTATTATTCGATGTTGATTTTTTTGTGCCATTCCCATTTATGAAATATTCGTTTAATATAAAAAAGTGTAATAAGTAGTGATGACCCTACTGTAAATATTTCAAAGGCCTTGTAAATATACAGAGTAATACTCACACAGCTATTTGAATTCTATGTGTCCGAACACTCTTATCTAAAATTATATTTCAATAAAAACAAAAAGTCTTAAGTTCTATCTAATTACTTACTTTTAACTCTTTGATTTACCTATACTTTCTCATAGTAACATTAGTCTCTCTCATCTTCGCACCGGAGCACCCCACTTCAACTGAGCTTTCCGAATACAAGAAAGTTAAATTTAGAAATTTGTAAATTTCAAGTTTTTGTGTATTGTAAAAAAATAATTAAACAAAATTAAAGGAGGTAAGTGTGACACCAACTTTCTAGTCACACCTCACCACTCTACAATCTCTATTTTCATTTTGATTATAAAGAGCTTTATTTGGCTTTGATAGAGATTTCTTTTTTGACAAATGCCACATTCTTTCTTGCTTTTTACTGACGTGGACACGCCAAAGTATTTTAATTTTAGAAATTTGTTTAAAAGGGTGAATAAGCATATGAACACACATTATTTCTTTTCCTTGTCAACAAAGAAAATCCAAAAAAGAATGACAAACTATTTTTTTATGTTATAAATTTAATATAATATAACCTATCGGTTGTTTTATATTCATAAATTCCGCAAAAGTCAAAGAAAATTTTTTTAAGGCGAAGGGATTATATTCTTTAAAATATTTAGGGGTGTTTGGTTTTTTTTAGAGATGGATAAACAAAAGGTGAAAAATACCTCTAAAATATTTTAATCAAATTAATTAATTTTCAAAAAATTTAACCACTCCCATACACCATCATACTCCGTAAAAAACTTCACGAAATTGTCATTGCCTTCTTCTCCCCTGCAATCTTTCTCTAGTCCCCATGCAACACCAACTCCAGTAAAATGTGCAGTTAAAGCAACAAAAAAAGAAAAGAAAATGAAATCTTTTCTTTTAAATTTCAATCTCATCATCTCCCAGGCTTAATTTCACCCTCTCATCAATCAATGGCTGTTCTTCTTCTACACTCTTTTCTTCTGTCAATCTTCATCTGGTCAATCCCAGTTGCCCCGGCCGTTGACCCCATTTCCGAGTCACTCCTGGCCTTAAAATCTCAGCTGATTGATGATTCCAACGCTCTGGGTGACTGGATTTTGACCCCGGAATTGAATTCGTCGTCTGGGTTTCAGAGCTCAAGAATCCATGGATGTCTCTGGTCTGGTGTCCGGTGCAACGAGAACTCATCAATGGTGGTCGGGTTGGACCTTTCCGGGAAGAATCTCCGGGGGGTTTTTTCCGATGACCAATTCGGAGCTTTTCTCGGCGTTCTTGATCTGAATCTCAGCTACAACTTGTTCTCCGGGAATCTCCCCTCTGGGATTTTCAGCCTCACCAGTCTCCGATCACTGGACGTCAGCAGGAACAACTTTTCCGGCGAGTTCCCGGCGGGGATCTCGAATCTGGGGAGTCTGGAGATTCTTGATGCCCTCAGTAACAGCTTCTCCGGGAACTTACCTTCGGAAGTCTCAAAACTCCGTTCACTAAAGAGATTGAATTTCGCAGGGAGCTATTTCAGCGGCCCAATCCCTTCCGAGTATGGCTCGCTGGAGAATCTCGAATACATCCATTTGGCCGGAAATTCTCTCGCCGGAAAAATCCCACCTGAACTGGGAAAGCTCAGATCCTTAACTCACATGGAAATAGGATACAACTCATACGAAGGAACTATCCCGTGGCAATTGGGTAATTTGAGTGAGATTCAATACCTGGACATTTCTGGGGCCAATCTCACCGGACCCATTCCGAGAGAGTTCGGAAATCTCACAAAACTAACTTCACTCTTCATGTTTGGTAACTTTCTTGATGGATTCATCCCAGAGGAACTGGGAAGAATCACTTCTCTTGAAAGCTTGGATCTTTCTGTGAATCTCCTCTCTGGGCCAATCCCGGAGACCTTCTCGGAGCTGAAGAACCTCCGGCTGCTCAGTCTCATGTACAATGAGATGAGCGGGACAGTCCCGGAAGCCATAGCCGAGCTCCCAAAGCTCGAGAGCTTCCACATCTGGAGCAATTCCTTCAACGGATCCCTCCCAGAAAGCCTGGGGAGGCACTCGAAGCTCAAAGAAATGGATGTCTCGACAAATCGCTTCACAGGCGGAATTCCTCCCGGAATTTGCTCCGGCGGGTCACTCTCGAGGCTGATCATGTTCTCCAACGGATTCACAGGTCCAATCGGCCCCTCCATTTCAAACTGTTCTACCTTAATCCGAGTCCGTCTGGAAAATAATTCTTTCACAGGCGAGATCTCTCTCAATTTCAGCAATTTTCCTGATATAACGTACCTGGACCTGTCAAGAAACAGATTCTCCGGCGGCATTCCGATGGATCTTCCGGCGGCTTCAAAACTGAAGCATTTCAATGTGTCTTATAATCCAGAGCTAGGAGGGATAATCCCAGAAAAAACATGGCAGATGTTGTCCCTCAAGAACTTTTCGGCTTCCAATTGTGGAATTTCCGGAAATGTCCCTCCATTTCAGGGCTGCAAATCAGTGTCTATCATTGACTTGAGCGTCAATGGCTTGTCAGGGGCAGTTTCGGAAAGTGACTCCGACTGCAAGGATTTGGCGAGGGTGAATTTGTCTTTTAACCACTTAACGGGCCGGGTCCCGGCCGGGCTGGCCGGTCTGCCTGCCGTTAAAGTTGTCGACCTTTCCCACAACCGTTTTAACGGCCCGATCCCGTCAGAGTTTGAAACGGCGTCAGAAACGTTAGCGCTGCTTAACGTCTCGTTTAACGACGTTTCCGGTTCGATCCCCGAAAAGTTTAGTGCCATGGACGCCGGTTTATTCCAGGGTAATCCTAACTTATGTGGGCCGCCGTTACGGGCTTGCCATAATGGGCCGATCCGATGGACTCAAAAGTTCGCCCGGGCTCTGATCCTCTGCGGGACGATTATCTTCTGCATCACCGCCGCAATGCTCGCCGGAGTTTATATGAACCGGTGGAAAACGGTGTCGTTTGACGGGCTTCACCAGTTCAGATCAAAGGACATTCTCGGAAGCTTCATCGACTCCCCTCCGCCGCCGGGGACGGCGCCGGGATCGGTCTGCAAAGCGGTCCTCCCGACCGGAATAAGCGTTTCGGTGAAGAGCATCAGGTGGGGACGGGGGAGGACGGCGATCGCGTCGGAATTCATCAATCAATTGGGGAACGCGAGGCAGAAAAACCTAGCGAGGCTATTGGGATTCATGTACAGGAAGGATGTGGCCTACCTGATCTACGATTACCTGCCGAACGGCAATCTGTCGGAGAAGATCGCCGGCGGGAAGATGGATTGGGAGACGAAGGTGAAGGTGGTGGCCGGAATCGCCCGGGGACTGTGGTATCTCCACCGCGAGTGTTTCCCTCCGATCGCCCACGGGGATTTGAAGGGTAGTAAGGTGGTGTTTGACGAGAAGATGGAACCACATTTGGTTGGATTTGGGGTTTCCTCACTCTCCCAATTGGACAACGTTAATTCAGGTATTGTACAATTAATTTACATGCCAAATTTCTTTTGATATAGAAATATATTGTCAAACTCGTCCAAATTAATCGTCTTAGTTTGATTTTGTACAAAATTTAAGGAAAAAAAATTATATTGTTAAAAGTGATGCAGATAGTGAAGAGCGGAAGTTTAATTTAGAATTGTCGAAAAAAAAAGAAATAATAATTTGGAACGGGGGAAGTATTTAACATTGATCATATATGCATTTCACAATATTCATATCTTTATGTCAATGAATCTGTTTATGAAACATATATAATTTTCAATTACTGCAACAGGTGAATTAAGAGTAGTGATCAAAGAAGAGTTGCTCTATAAAGACATACACAACTTTGGCCGACTGGTTATGGAGGTCTTAACCAATGGTAGAGTTAGCAAAGGAGAAGTTGCAAGCCCACAAACGAAACCGAATGACGATGATGCCCTTCTGAAAAAAGTCCTTCGCGAGAATGATATCCCGTATTCTGATAATCCGATTAAGCAGGAAGTGAAGAGAGTTCTTGATGTCGCATTGTTCTGCACCCAACGTCGAGCTTCGGACAAGCCATCAATGCAAGAAGACCCTTTGAAGCTTCTCTCAAGCTTGAGAGTAGGAACGAGAAGATAAGATCACAGAAGTGTATGAAAGGGTGTTGTTATATACATCTCCATTTTGGCTATATCCAATCTTTTTATGTTAAATGGACAATTTTACCCCTAAAGCTGACTTGCATCAAAATTCTCTCTTTTCTATTTTTGAGGTTAAAAATATCCATTTAACATTAATGGAGTGGATACAGGCAAAATGAAGGTAGATATAACAACACGTTGTATGAAAATATGAAGGCCAAAATGTGTAAAATAAGTTTTTTTTGTTCATGTTTGTAGTTGAGGCATATGATTATATGTATATATCCAAGAGAAATTTCTTATTGAAGGTTAGAAGTTATAAATGAATATGTTATTTTATAGTATGTTGGTATATAATTGGTATATTTCTCGATAGAATCAATATGTTCATCACAATAGGTCATTGAGTTTCTTACAACGTCTTAACGAAAAGAATGTAATGCAAGAAATACCAGTCACGAGAAACAAAACTAAAATTCATTTGTTGAGGAAGGATTGTCTTCGGTGGTTGTGACGTGTGGAGCTAGAGAAGATCAATAAAGTATTTAGTGAGAATATCTAGTAAGAAGGATTGGTCAATTTGTGAATAAACATATGGCTAGGAGAATAGATAGATCTAAGAGAACTTGGAACAAAGTGGTCAAAAGAGACCTTTGTGTGAATGATCTCACTACAGATAAGGATATTGTTTGATTTATTTAGCTGATCCCACCGAGTGGGACAAGTCTGTTTTGTTGTTTGGGCATTGTTGAAAATTTCTGTTCTATAAAATGTTTAATAGTTAATGATTATGACCTTAAACACTTTTTTATTATCATTAACCTCTCCATCACAATCTAAGTTGTTTGTTTATTATTCAAAAGGTCAAACATTAACCACAATCTTCATCCATTTTCGGGACCCGTATGAGAAAATGATAAAATCTTGCTACCTTATGTTTTCTAAATCTTGTGATGTAGTTTTAAATTTATATATATTTTATTTTTTATTTCCTTACCAGTTTTCCAATAAATTAAAATAAAAATAACTTCAGTCAACCCTTAAAAACAACAATATGCAGCTCTTTTTTAGACGAAGAAAGTAAGTAGTATGTAAAAAAATTCATCATAATATCTATATATACGTAATACGTCAATATACTATTTTTTTTTTGAGAAAACATTAATTTGAAAAGGCTAAAATGTGATTTTTCTCTTCAAAAGTTTAAAGATTAAAAGGTCAAGCAAAACTAGTTTGGGCTCAATCCGGAATGGCCCAAATGCACAAATTGATACCATCCAAATAGCTACGGTACAATTTAGGCAATTTGCCCCAACTGGAAGACTAGTAAATGGGCTTCTATATTTGTGGGCTCGTACTTCAATAAATGCATTGTTCATATTCACGTCCAAAATTTTTTTACTCCTGTATAATATATACCCGGGTATTTGTGAAATTTGCACTAAATATGACTAAAATATAAGTTATTTCCTGTATTACATTGTCAAAGCAACACTTTAATTTTCTAATTGTATATACTCATTTCTTGTCAATGGTGCTTTTCTTTGTCAAAGTTTTCAACTTTTTTAATCATATTTAAAGAAGTTTAATTAAGCATGTAATTAGAACTTGATTTTGGCTTGATTATAAGTTGTTTTTGTTGATGGTGAAAAAGCATGGATTTGTTTATGGCATATATATAACTCAAGAAGTCAATGTATAAACGCTTAGCTTTCGAGCTTTTCCAAATACCAAAATTCAAAAAGAAAAATGTATGGTATAAATATGCTAAAAGCAATAGAAATAATTTTAATAAAAAAATATCACAATGCATGTGTCAAATGAGAAGCACATACATACATACATGTACAGAAACGGTACGTAGGGATGGATGTGTCTTATACTGCCTCTTAGTTTAATTAATGCTTGGCACAATTGCACATGAATGCTTTATTTTTGTACCAGTCCCATTGTGATATATTTCATCTCAAATTAATCCCTTTATTTTGACTTCATCAAAAACCCTTAAAAAAATATTTCCTCTATCCCTAAAAGATTGTCACAGTTTAATTTTTTTGTCAACCCGTGGCATTCTTTGACTGTAAATTATAGAAAAAGTATACTTAGTTATAATATGAGTCTAGTAAAACTGGGTTTATTTTAAAATATAGTTTTGAAACATTAAATTTTTTATAATATTTAATTATTTTAAATTATACTTAATTTCTGATCAAATAGTGTCACAGTTTGACCAAAAAATTAAACTGTGGCAATCTTTTAGCAACAGAGGGAATATTTAATATTAAAAAGTAAATGGTTAAGATATTTATGCGCATGCGGTAATATATTAGGAAAAAAAGACTATTTTTATTTTTTCTTTATAAAAAATGAAATAATGAAAATTATTTTAGAACAGATGAAAAAATGCAAGATGATTACTTAGGTGGACCAAGTATGTAAATAATTTGTACGGAGGACTTTTACTCCCTCCTATTTCGTTGTTACGTGTAAAACCTCATCTTTTTTTAAATGATTTAATTAAGAAATTCGTATAAGAATAAAAAGTTCTACATATTTTAAAACCTCATCTTTTTTTAAAAGTTACATATTTAAAAAACTACATAAAAAATTCTACAAAATAAAAAGTGACAAGAATATTACTATATTTTGTCAAATGATTAATGAAAAAACACATGCAAACAAAAGTTATCGTGATGTCTTAGTAAATAGGAATGGTTTTAAGAAGAGATGGAGTAATTAATATTATTCTGTGGTAGAGGTTGAAGAATGAAGATGCTCTCCTCTCCACAATATATTTATAAAAATATTATTCTATTCCTTAATTGATTGTCTGCAGATTTTAGAGCAAATCTGTTTGGGCAACTCTCCCATGTTTTAAGACTACTTCTATTATTGCATGCAATGAACTGTTGATGCATGCATATTTTAAATGTATAAAAATATCCTAAATAATAAACGAAATTGAGCTAATGCAAATGGGAGATCTATTGTGTGTGTCTGTGTATATATTGTTAAAGCTGCATGCGTATCATAACTATATACGAAGTATTTAAAAATTACATCAAATCATTACTATATAGAGAGTATTAAAAAATTACATCAAATGTTTTACGGAGTACAAAATAAGAAATTACACAAATATTTTATTTTATCAAATAATCAATAAAAATACACAAATGAATACTCCGTAAAAGTTATCGAGAAGTGAGAGAAATTTTTTCTTAATAAACTGTGGGTCGGATGGAGCATGCATGATGATGAATAGTAGTTACAGAGTATAGTTTATTTAAATAAAAAATTAAAATCATTATAATATAGACTCTCCTATGGAACGAAAGATATATTTTTTGTAAAATTTGCACTGAATAGGACTAAAACATAATTCATTTTCCAATGTAGGTCTTAGCCCTTTTTATTTCCTAAATAGGACTTAATAATAACTAGCGAGAAGAATAATGTCCAAGTGATGCTGGACATTTAGTTGAATAATTACTACTCCATCCGTCCCAGAGTATTTGTCCACTTTCATTTTTACACAACATCCAATACACTTCTTTAATCCATTTTATCTTAAAATTTGTATATTAAAAAATTATAGAAATTATATATTAATAATCTATATGTTAAGACAAATCAAACAATATCACACATGACTATATTTAGGCTTACACATTGAGAGAATTTGATGAGTCAAAGTGCTTAGATGAACAGTTCCAAAAGTCAAAAGTAGACCAATATAGGCGTATAGCGGGACGGAGGTAGTAATAGATAATGACCAATAATGGCCCTACATTAAAAAATAAAAATATATGGTCCTATATTGAGAAAGTATTTATTTTTTAATCCTATTTAGGTAAATTACCCTTATTTTTTCAGGTGGCACAAATATTTTATCATATTCTGATTTAAAATGTTAGAAATCAATTAACTTCCCACTTTTTCATACTCCATGCATATATAATACGGAGTATATTTTAAAAGAAATAATTGTATACTACGAATTGAATGTGGAGTATTATCTCTTTTTTCTATAGATACATGTAGTCACACATTTTCTTTGAGGAAAGTCACATATTTAGTACGTATAAGGATCGAGTATTTATTATGCTAAAAACAACATCAAACTACTATTGATAGAAATCTATTTTCGAAAACACAGTAGTTATTAAAAAACACATTATTGTGTGTTTTTGTTAACTAGAGAACAATTGATTGAATAATAAACTCACAATTGATTTTAAAATTTTAATGAACGGTAATCTATCAATAGTAATCTGCGTTGTATCAGAATACGGTTTGTATTATCACCGCTGTTTATATCATCAAACTAAGTTATGAATAATATTTGCACTCCAACAAAAATTCAAATTTTTTTCTTTATGTATATATATTTTCTGTGTCAATTACAATTTTTAGAGTCTTTTGGTACAAGGCATCTATATACAATTGAGAAATTTATCATTGTTAAATATATCAAGTATATATTTAGTATATTTTATATATAGTAGTTTCCATGTATTGTATAGTCCTTATTTATCATAGTTTCCTAACACAATAGGTTTCCTAATATAACTAGGAAACCTCTACTATATATACTCCCTTGTATTCATACATTGTCACATTACAATCATTGGAATATATCAATTCTTCATGGTATTAGAACCCTAAAATTATCACGGTTCCTCTTCCCTTCTTCGGCTCTTTCTCTCTCGGCAGAAGCCTCACCGCCGACTCCCTCTCTGTCTCGGCAGTCTCTCTCTCTCTCGGTCATCTCCCCCATATTTCACTATGGCCGAAGTCTCCTCTGTCTCCTCCGACAACACCAACACCCCCAAATCTCCTCACCTTGCTTTTACCGCAATTTCAAACATCAAACTCCATATCCCAGTTCAACTTAGTATCTCGGAGCCGAACTACAAAAAATGGAGTAGACTCTTTCGTCTTCTTGTTCTTCGATTCAATCTCATGGGATACCTTGACGGCATTATCATCGGCAAATCGGCCGACGATGCCGAGTGGTACCAGTTCGATGCTCTACTACAAGGGTGGATCTTGTCCAGCGTCTCCGACGAGGTCTCCGATCTCGTCCTCGCCAACAGCCCCACCGCCGCGGCACTATGGAAGGCTATTTACAAATTATTTCATGACAACAAGCATGCCCGAGCGATGCAATTGGAGCATCGTTTCCGCACAACCATCAAAGGAACAAAGAGAATCAATGAATGTTGTCATACTCTCAAAAATCTTGCCGACTATCTTGACGACGTCAATGCTCCGGTGACCGAACACGCCCTTGTCCTCCAAGTTCTTCAAGGCTTGCCGCATGATATCCGGGGACAAGTTCATTTTTTACAGTATCAGAACCCGTTCCCGTCCTTCTTGGAGGTCAGATCGGCCCTCCTCTTGGTCGAACAACAGTAGGCCGATGCCCTCCCTACCGCCGGCCCATCCACCGCTCTTCTCAGTTTCAACGGCGGCGGCGGCAGTCCCAACGGTAGGCGGGGGGCAGTCACGGCAGAACATCGGCGGGCAAAACTCCGGGCGCGGCAGCTTTGGCGGATCAAACCGGGCAGCTCTAGAGGCTATCGCGGGCGTGGCCGTGGACGTGGACGTGGCGGCCCGAATCAACGACAACCCGGCCCAAATACCTGGTAGTTCCCCACCCCCTCACCCGGCCTTCTAGGCCCACGGCCCTACTCCCCCTACCCGGCCCAGGCCCACGTGGCCCAATACCCGTACCCAGCGCACAACACAGCCCCGCCCCAACCCCAATACCCAACACCCAGCCCTACAACCCAAACCCGTACCCA